TACTTGTCTGTAATTCGCTTTGGATTGGTCAGTAATTCGTAGATGTTTGGATTTTACAGATCAATCTTGCCACTCCCCACCACTTCTGGACAATATGAAGGCTATCATGTTTTTATTTGGGTCCATAAGACATTAATATACATCTATCACCACCACACTCTAATAAAATAAATTTTAATACACACACATACGGGGAAGGCCATATTCCCAGAACAAAGGAAAATAACGTAAATTGCATAAAATTTTCTTTTTAGAAAAAAAACCTACATTTTCATTGTTTTTTGCATTTTTTCCTGAATAGGTGTAAACTTTGTAACAGGCTAACACTGGTCTGAAGACTGGCATTTGGAATTATTGGCACAGAATTGACATTGATGAGTGAGAAAATGGAGGTGAAAAGTCACTGCTTTCAAATGATCTCAGTGCATTTTTCTCTAGATTATTTCCTCTGCTGCTTCAAATTGCAGGAATGCTTTTAGTTAATAGCACTGGTAGCCAGGACTCCTTTCTATTTGTCTCTTGGAATTTCCTCACGATCACTTGAGTGGGAGACATTACTTTTTGAAAAGTTATTGTTAACAGGAAAATAATTCCCAACCCGGTGCCTTAGGAATTAAAAATTCTCCCAGTTACAGAGAGTCAAAATAACGGGGAAGGGTAGGCCCATTGTAGACAATGAATATTGGTGTTCCTCAAGACAATCGGCATGTCTCTGCCTAAAACACAATGAGATTGTCATCACTAAACATATTTATTAAATAATTACTAAGTATCTTTAATTGATAAAAAAAAAGACAGAGAAAGATTGTGTTCTTTACTGCATCCCACTCTACAGCTTTTCAAAGGGATTTAACAACAGAAAGGTCAACTTTATGAGCCTACTGAACAGGAAGGTCCTTTAATGAGTTCACCAAATGTCAGGGCCAGGTCAAGGCATATTTCTCTCCTTTCTCCTTCTTTTTAGTGAACTCTTGCTCTATGATGATTAATCTTCCATTGCATTTTCCAGAAGCCTTATCAGTTGACTTGGAGCAACACCAGGGAAATCTGGGAGCAGTTTAAGTACCAGCAAAAAGCATCCAGGACAATCCAAGATGAAGCCCATTTTGGCAGAAAAAGAGTGAATTTACACCTGGCTTTATAAATGAGGAGGTGCTTTTTCCTTCCCACTCTAAATAAGAGACTGGTTAAGCTCTTCAGGCCCTTCTCCTCCTCCCCACTTCGTGGAAGTTTCTTGGCACTTGAACTTCTCACAGGCCTAGGAGAGAAGAGCATTTCTGAGGTCCTAAGGATCCCTGAGAATCATTCTGAGTCTAATGGAAAAGAGCTCATAGCTCTTGTGCAAAACTGCATCTTCTTTACTTCTGTGGATTTCGATTATCTAGTTTTTATTTATTTTTTAACTTCTGTGAGATTAGAGAATTGAAAGTTTTGCTTATTAATGCAACTCAGTCAGCCAGTATTTTCCAACCATAAGATGTGGGATTCCAACCTGGTAGAAGCATAAAGAACAATCAAGTGTAGGGACATTTCTAAGTGCTTTAATTAAGGTCAAACTAGGAGAAGAGTCAGGAAAAGAACTAAAAAAATAATATTTGGAAGTGTGGGGGAGATTACAACTATACTGAACTAATGAGTCTTTTAAGTGTCAAAGGTAAGTTATAATTTACTAGACACCTTCTGTGGGCCAGGTCCTTTCATACATAATTTCACATCCTCCTACTAATAATGCATCCACGGAAGATTCTATCACACCTAACTTGTGATTAAAAAAAAAACACAACTGATGCTCAGGAAGATTTATTCATGTGTTAAGGTCAAACAGCTGGTAGGCTGTTTAGCCAGAGCCCAACCCAGGTCTGTCTTCCACTTGGTGTGGGAGTCTGTGCTCTCCCCACCCCATCATGCTGCCTCTCCAACCCTACAGCCCAGCGCCCAGGAGACAGGTGGATCAGCAGATACAGAGCAAGCACTAGCACCTCCAGGCCTGGGGGAGGGGAAGCACAGGGCGGGGATGCCCCAGTCTATATTCAGTCCACTGTTCTGTCCCTCCCAGAAGGATCCATCTTCATGTCCACTGGCATCACTGAGTGAAAGAAGTTAAAGAAACATGGTACAGGACAGGGGCTGAGAGCTATCTCCATCTGAGCATTGAGTATGAAGCCAGGCCAGAGCCTAATATCCACACCCCAGGGAGCCCAGGATTTAATTCCTAGTAACAGGAATGTTCCTGTGTTCTGTTCTCAGGGCTGATGAGAACAGACAGGAATGTTCCCGCAATAGAAATAGGCTAAAAGGAGAAATTGGCAAAAGGAGGTTTCTAGAAGGATGTTTTTAAGACTATCCAGCCCACATCAAGCTAACTAAAGAGGGAACGTTAAGTCTCAGTGGCTCCTTACCTGAGCCTATAGCATGACGCTAATCAGTGCCCAGCAGAGTGGCCGGCCCTGATCTCTAGGGGCAGATTGTGAGCTCTGGTCATTTTCCTGCAGCCATACAACTAGGCATTAGAAGTAGCACCTGCCCCGCTGAAGGGTGTGTGCCTGACACACCTGACAGCTTCCTACTCTTTGGTCCTGAGAAAATAACACCAAATAATCAAAGTGAAGCTACAGAAAGTCATGACTGCCAGAAAATGTTAGGATTTACAGCTAGTAAAGACCTTAAAAATCATTCCAAATTTTATAGATGAGGGTGAATTAATTTCTAAAGGCTATTAAAATCAGTAAATGGCAGAATGTGAATACAAACTCGACTCCTGACTCTTAGTCCAGTGGGCCTCCCATTACGCCATAAGGAAAGGCAAAAATGAAGTCCCAGAAGGGCTGGAGATTCATCTCCTTCTGCTTCTTTTCCTCATAGAAATATGGAATGGAGCCAAACAGAACCAAAGATTCAGGCCACCGGAAGTTACAGGTTTATCTCAGATAAGTCTATTCTTTGCCCTGGTTTAAGTATTGACCATAAAGCCTTAAGCCATGGACAACAATATCATTCTGAGAAGTGAGAGCCAAGTACCAGGTTTCTATTTTCTCTGCAAATAGTTCAAGTCCCCTCACAAAAAGGTTTTTAATATAGAGAGAAAATGAGGAACCAAGGTTAGATATAAAATGCAAACCCTAACTTTTAGGGCTATCATGTATTACAAGTCACAAAATAAATTTTTCTTATAATAATGGAAATGAATTTCAGAACAGTTCACTTCCTGAACATAAGTACATATGCTGGAGGAAGCTATCCAAGGTGAGGCCTGATGCACAAAGCTAAGAAGAGGCCTATTTAGGGTTCACAGTCAATGCAGACAATCCATTATCATTCCTGATGGCACACATACACTACCAGTAAATATCTGTGAATGATGAAAGACCTTCAGAAGTCTGTATTGGGGGAGCAACTGTGTTTAAAATAGCACAGTGGGAAAGGTCTGCAAGTCTCTGGTGAAGTGAATAATAATTTATACTTAACACTTTTTTAAAAAGTGATTTTCTATTTCTTTTACGAGCCAAAACCATTAATCCGGAGAGATCAAGTAGGATTTTTATGAACCCTGGGTTGAAGCATCAGTCAGAAATGACTTCTGCAGCAGAAGTGACAGAAAGTGAGTAATAGAAATTAAAAGATAGACAGCTATAGGAAGTCCCCTTTCCTCATGTGGAGAATGCAAGAAACAGGAAAAGGTCACGCTCCAGTGGTCCCATCAGAGCTGCTCTTCTATCAGAGGCAGGCAAGTGAGCAGACACAAACCACCTCACCTGTCTGAGCCTCGGCTTCTCTCCTGTGAAGTAGCACATTCCCTCTTTGTCTCCCGGAGTTGTCATGAACTTAAAATGTGTTCTTTGTAAATTGTAAGATGACATGTAAACTTAAGCTGTTTTAATAGTATTCATGAATAACAATGACCTCTCCCGTCTTGTGGAGGAGGAAATGGGAACAGAACACTAACGCGATCTGCTCGGAGTTGAGCCAGGGGAGGATCTGGGTCTCCTGTTTCAGTCCAGTGGGGCTCTGACCCTCAGTCTCCTTCTCCAGCTGTGGAAGTGGTCCTGGATGGACACTGCTCACTGAAGCTCCTGGTCTCTTGGAGCTTCAGGATGGGAAATGTCCAGCTTATGAGAGGCTGTCTGGTAGGGCTGTATGCTCATCCTGAGAGATTTGACACCAATCCCTATGTACTGGGTCGGGAGGGACACTCCTCTGGGACCCACCACTCGATGGTGGCATTGTCATACTGGGGAGATTGCATCATGGGGGTGGCTTGAGTCAGTGAGAAGGGAAGGATTTCCATCTGCAAGAAGGAAAGGACCTCGGCTGTGAGGGTCACCAGAGGACAGTTCTGGGCTCTCAACCCCAGAAACCAAACTGACCCTAGATGGAAACCCCCAGATGACAGAGTGACCTTAGAATTCAGGTAGGGGCAAGTGACCTTTGCTAATGCAGACAAAGAAGCCACCATTTTTATTTTCAGGATTCTCTTCCAGGGAAATTAGTCCCATTTTGTGGCCTCTATGGACCAAGGGCACAGTTTACCCTGTATTCCTGAGATGGACATGGCTTTCCTTTGGTGTCTCATGAGAACTGTCTCAGAAATGAGTTTTTAACTACCAGGATCAGTAGTTTCTATCATTGGTTGGCCATCAGTGAAGAGACAGATGTGGCAGCCACCTGCCATCACATCCACGTGATTTTTGAGGATGGTAAGAGATCTGTGCTCCCCACACATCAACTGGCCCTGCCCACCTGACTCCCAGGAGAAAGAGGGCAAGCTCCTGTTGCTAACACCGTCATTCCATTTCCAGCCCCAGCCCTCCCCCACCAAACGCAGTACTTCTGGGGCAGGGCTTGAGAATCTGCTTTTTAAGAGCTCTGGGTGCTCTTAGATCACACTTTGAGAAAGATGGTCCAAGAAGTTTTCTGACGTTTTAAAGTACTGTACTAGCAATTTCTCTGTGGATCTTGTTTAGATCCTGTGTGTCTGGTGCTGGGCCTGAGAGTTGGCATTTCTGACAAACTCCCAGATGAAGCTGCTGCTGCTGGTCCTTGGGCTACACCTTGAGTGGCCAGGACCCAGTGGATTTCCAATCTTTATCTGGGCCACAGAGAGAGAAAATGTCAGGTGCAACATGGTCTTACCCCTTCCCTTATTCTATGTAATAGATTCCCTCTCTCACCTCCAGTCAGCTGGGTCCCCAGGAACAAGAGGGACGGCTCTGGCTGCATAGCCTTAGTTTCTCAGTATGGAATTCCACCTTGATATCTAGTGTCTATTAACCCTGCTACTGGAAGTGCTGAGCAGTGGTTTTGTGTGTGTGTGAAGTAGCTACTAAGAAAAAAGAAACAGGGCAAGTGATACACCCGAGCTGAGCTGCCGCTGAGCAGACAACAGCTGCATTAGGAAGGTTGAGAACTGCTGCTCTATGGGGTGATGCTTTGAACCCTGTGGTTGTTTTTTGAGTATGTCTACAAATTCTTTGATACTTTTCTCTTCAAATGGCACAGCTTAATTCCCTCCCTTGGAGTGTGGGTTGTTCTTGATGACTAACTTCTAACAAACAGAACGTGGCAGAAGCAAGTGTGTGACTTCCAAGGCAAGGTCATAAAATGACACTGTCGCTTTCTCCTTGCTCTCTCAAGTCATTTGCTCTGAGGAATGTCAGCAGCCACCTCATGGGGACACTCGAGCAACCCCAAGGAAGAGATTTATTTGGTGAGAAGTGGA